CAAAATGAAGGCATCCAGTTTGAAACATAAAGTACATTAAATTTTACTCATGTGCCGTGATAATAAATAGCAAAAGAAGACTCACTGTATACTTTTTGGTTCTTTATATAGTTTTAGAAAAGAAATAATGGTTCTTATCAAACAAGGGCTGAAATGATTCAGGGCACTGGTTTCCATAAAATCCAGCATCTACTTTGAGTAATTGAACCTAAAAAATGAAAAATGACTAAAGTTAAGAAGATTAAGTTAACATCCATATTTTGAAGTCCATGGGTGACCCAAACAGCTAGCGGAAAGATTGGCAATTTGAACCCACACACCAAGCATTTTGGGGTTGAACGACCCTTTCACAGGGGTCGCCTGATTCATAACAGGAGCAAAATAACAGTTATGAAGTAGCAACAAAAATAATTTTATGGTTGGGGGGTCTCCACAACATGAGGAACTGTATGAAAGGGTCCCGGCATTAGAAAGGCTGAGAGCCAGGCCCTCAGGTCACAGCCTTGAAACCTGTGGAGGAGATCTACCAGTACTCCGTACACGTGAGGTCCCCAGGAGTTGAGATCAACCAACAGACGGCAAAGGCATTTGTATTTTAAGTGCTTCCATATACTGTATTTCATTTTCTTTTTTGATATTTAATTTTCCTGTTTTAGAAAAAGAACTATAAATGACTTAGACAATCCATGTTGTCATAGTCAGGGCATTGGAAAATCGGTGGCACATGACTCGTATGTTTCTGTCTTAGAACTTCCACATCATTTAAAAAATATTCTAAGTAACCGGAATTTAGAAGTTGCAAATAATCCCTCTATTTATTTCACAGTCTCTGTGAACCGATATCCTCCTGTTTTTAAAGAAACATGTTTTCTTTACCTAGGTCCATCCGCAGCAGCACCGGCTCCTTTTTGAAGTGTTTGATGAAAATCGGTTGGTAAGTTAGACCGTGCTTGTGTGCAATAGGAAGTCAGGAGAGCAGTGAGGGGAAGGAGGTTGGGAATCCTGCTTTGAAAGATGGTTTGGAGTGGTTAGAATGGCTCCTTGAAAATGGTCATGTACAAAGTGGGTGCATAAGCAAATGTGGTGAAAAAAGCTGATGGTGCCCAGCTATTAAAAGATAGAGCCTCTAGCGTCTTAAAGGCTTGAAGATAAACAAGCGGCCCTCTAACTCAGAAGAAACTAAGTCCACATGGAAGAAGCACACCAGCCTGTGTGATCATGAGGTGTCGGGGGGATCAGGTATCAGGCATCTAAGATAAGGTGACTAGATTTTAACATTGGTGAAGTGAGACAAAAGCGGGACACCATTGATAAAACTCATATCCTGGCGAAATATCCACACGGCTGCTGAAAACCTTATACCTTAGCTTTTTGTGCATTCTTTCAAAAAATTGGGCCTTTTTAAAAATGCTGCGGGACGCGGGAAAAATTGTTAAATATTGGGACTGTCCCGCCAGAAGCAGGACATCTGGTCACCTTAATCTAAGACCCAGAATAAAACCATACCCAAGGTGAATGAGGGTGCATGGAGTGGAGACCCAATGCTCATCTGTAGGCAATTGGACATCTCCTCACAGAGGGGTCACAGGGAAGAGATGAGCCAGTCAGGGTGCAGTATAGCACCAATGAAACACATAACTTTCCTCTAGTTCTTTGATGCTT